TTAGTGTTTTGATTCTACTTTAAACACTTTTTTGATGAAATTTTGCGGATAATCATTCTTTTTGAAGACCGTTTTTAGGTATTTTTCTTCCATTCTTTTCAACTCTGGAGTGCTACAATGTGTTTGAACTCTTTTAAACAATGTTTGCACACAGTTTATTCCTAGTAAAATACTTCAAAAGATGAACATCTATAATTCTACTTATTGTAAACTGTCAGTTAAATCATGTAATAAAGATTTAGCAGTGTGATTTGATTTGATGATGGCTAGCAGTGGAATGAAACACGCGTGTTTTGTCCTCTTTAGGACTCATCATATGGATGTACTTGCTACGCAGAAGGGGATTTGAGTAGTTTAAAAACTCGATTTTGATTGACTGGTTCGACCGAAATGTTGACAGACATGTCGGTTTCTAGTGCAGATACTGCAACGATGTGTGACGATTAACTCAAAGTAACTGTGTGAATGGAGAATAGAATTAAAAGCTTGGATGCACATTTCATCCTATTTGGGACTTGTGGCTGGATGTATCTGCCTTCTCAAGTGAATGTTGGTGCTCTCACTGGAGTTCGAACCCAACCCCCATCATTTTAAATTGCAAAGTGCTATCCATCAGACCAATAGAGCCATGAGAGCCACCTCCTGTTTAACAAGTATCATTCAACATCCACAAAATTACTTCAAGTGTTTTAAAATGATTTGAAGTGTTAAGTAGTTGTTACTTTTTTTAATTTGGTGATCAGTGTGAATGAGACGGATCATTATTGAACAGAGCTTGGAATGGCAGTCATCTCTCTATCTCAACGTCATCGACTTTGAAAAGGACTTCAACAGACAGCGTTGATCGAGAGGTTCTCTGGCAACTACTTCGCTACTACCAAAGGGGTGCCGCCGACAATTATATATCACATCCAACAGTTGTACGACAATGCTGCATACCAAGCAATCCATAACAGGAAACTTACGGAATCCTTCGAAGTGAAGATGGGAGTAAAACAAGGATGGCTGGCTGCATACAATCCCCAATGATTTTCCTGATTGCGGTAGACTGGATAATGCAACAGACAGTGGCGGGCAACGAAGAAACAGCCATAAAATGAACCCACACAAAAAAATTGGAGGATCTGGACTTCACCGATGATATATGTCTGATTTCCTACAAACTGGAAGATATGTAAGCGAAAAGCAACAAATTGGTAGAAGAAGCATCAAAGATAGAACTTCAGGTGAACATAGAGAAAACAGAGGTAATCAAGATTCCTGGACAAGAACAACAACAACAGACAACAATCAGCATAAATGGGAGGAACCTGAAAGAAACAACCTCCTTTACCTACCTGAGAAGCATCGTTTCAACTACAGTCAGACGGAACTGACGAGGATATCAAAGCAAGAATTGGAAAGGCAAGACAAGCTTTCACTACTCTCAAGTCTGTGTGGAAGTCAACAGCACTCAGCATCAAAAATAAGATCCGGATTTTCAACTCCAATGTGAAGTCAGTGCTACTTACTATACGGATCAGAGACTTGGGGCGTCATAAAGAGCACCTCAAATAAACTACAGACCTTCATCAACAGTTGTCTTCGCTCAATACTCAAGATCAGATGACTGGCCAGAAAAGATCAGCAACAGAGATCTCTGGCAATGAGCGAACCAACCAGGAACCGATTGTGAAACAAATAGGCACGAAGAAAAGGAGATAGATTGTACATACTCTGAGGAAACCATCAAGTGACATCACTAGACAAGGCATTGCTCGATTGGAACCCGAAAGGGAAGTGGCGAGTTAGTTGTCAGTGCGAGGGTGACTTGGAAGAGGTCATGTGAAGAGGAGATGAAAGCATGAGGGGATACTTGGAGCCAGGTGAAAACTCTAGTAGAGAACCGAACGCAATGGAGACGTGCGGCTGAAGCCCTATGTTCCTCTAGGAATTAAAGGAAATAATAACCATAATAATGAGATGAGACAACGAAATAAGCATGAACTTCAAGTTATTTGGTAATATTGAATAAACGGTTAATAAAGAAATTAAACGAATTTGATGTGAATCAGGTCCATGATAAAGGAGACTGTGTGGAACGCAGCAACTGCTTTTGTTTGGGAATGACAAAACCAAACACTCTCTTCGTACCTACAACTACTTATCTTGATTTGGTAGACACTTACAAAAAAAGAAGATGAAGATAGAGCTTAAGAAATGAGTGGATGGATGAAGTATTAAGCTCATAATAAACTAAGATTCTTGCCTTGAAATTCACACAAGTTAGAATTTAGGAATGCGTCATTAAAAAGTGTATATCTTGTATAGCTTTTGCAAACAACTTTATAGGCGCGAGCAGACCTAACTGAAAACTAAATTTCATAGAGTGTGAAATGAGAATAGTAGTGGTAGTAGTTGAATGAAAATGAGAAGTGTTATTCGCATAAATTTGTACACACACACCTGAATGACAGTGATATCTATATTTATTTAAATATTTCTTATTGATCAATACTATATTACTACTTGAATCATAAGATATATGATAATTCAATATTCAATGCTTTAGTATATTTGTTAAGTTAAACTAAATGAATAATAATTAAGTCAACAAAGGCGCCATTTTTAAATTTTCGCTTAGTTAATAAATATTTTTGTTATCTTTAAGCATATAATGTATTATTTTAATGAGTTTATGACAAATGCCTTATCTGCCTGTGTATATCTATAAATTTATATTTTAACTGACAAGGTGTGTTGGTTTCACTTTCAGCACAGATTTGTCATCAATTCTGTGTGTTTTGAATTATGATTATAATTATTTTGTTAAATTTTAACGTCAATTAAATATATATTTTACAGACTATATCTAAATTAATAAATGAGAAAGGTATATATTATCAGGATTTATTGTGGTTTTGAAGGCTAGGATAAGGAATGGGAAGTGAGATACTGAGTACTCGGATTATTATTATATTATTAATATTTTGTATGCCCATGTTGTCTAAACGCTGACTAATCAAGCTTTATCAATTTTCTTGTAAACTTTCTGGTTTCTCCCAGTGTTTATTTAATCATATTATGACACTGAAAACATAAACAGAAGTGGGAAAATCTGGGAAAACTGAGCGAGTGAGTGAGTGAGTAAGTAGGGCTTAGAAAAAGGGGAGGAAGCAAAAAAAAATACGTATTGTAAACAGATGAAATCTGTTAAAATGGTATAAATGATGAACAGATAGTGTAGTTTTCTTATTGACATAAAAGAATACACTGAGGCTGTCTGAATGTTTTCTCCAGCCTCTCGTTGAATGTATATATCCACTGGCTTTAATCGTGATTGACAGTTGAAAACGTCTACATCATTGCCTATCCCCTTTTATGTCTATTTCTTTAATCACTTTTCCATCCAGATTAAAAAAAGGAAACTAAACTAAACTAAACTGCACTGAAGTGAAGTGACGCAAACTTTCCTTCTTTGTTTATGTGTGTAATAATTTAATTTCCTCTTCTAGAAAATACAAAGTATCAAAATAGCAAAGTTTGTATGCATTTCTGCAACTGATTAAGTGTCATCAGATAGACACAACACACATATACACAGGTGTTATTGTTGTGTGATAATCTAATTTATTCCATATGGTTAATTTTGGTTACTTGGGCAGTAGGCGATGTCATTTGTCTAGCCCTACGTATATTATTAAGGCCGTGTGAATTTTATCACAGTGAAATTTGCAATGTGGTTTGCAAGTAGTGGTGTACTACTCTGAATGGATGGTTAGATGACTGAAGGCGATCGGTGCTGAAGCCGTGCACCTAGCTTTTGTGCCTGTTGACACTCGTCAGCAAAGCATATCTGCCAACTTGAAGGAGTTGATATCCGCTGCAGTCAGAGACTTTATCGCTGAGTAATTCAAGATGTCCTGCAGTAATAATTAATTTGAAAAAAAAGAGGACTTCAGATTACAGTATGCACTGAAGATGTTGCCTAGTGGGAGGGGGCAATGAAAGCTTCGCAAATTAACTAACTATCCAGCTCAGAGAACACAACCACCATTTCAAAATCACCCACCTGAGCTACAAATCTTCTCCATCATACCTAGTCCAATCTCTATGTTTACCTTGGGTCTAGTTCTTTGTTGAAAACTTGTTGACATATTATGCAACTATTTTTTAATCTTAGGTAACCTTTTTTCCATTCCCTTTGTGATGTACATTCACACCTTCAAGCTTTCATATCAATTTTAAAATTATAATCTCTTTTAAGCCCCCTTTCTTTACAATGTTGAATTGAGTAGCAATTTTAAAATATATGAACTTGTCAGTATAAAGGTGATATCGCTAAAAAGATATCTTTGTGGAGTTTTTGTTCTCTTTTCTATCATGTTCTGATAGGTATTTTCCACGGCTTTGAATAAAGTGCCTATGACGGACACGCCAACGTATCTGTTATCCTTGGTGTCAACATTATTCTTCACTGTTATCAACTTATAATTTCACACTAAATTCATCTTTCTCGCAGTTTAGATTCCTTTGAATTGCAGATAGGTTGCATGACGAACAAGTGCAAGCCGGTGGATGCGTGAAAATTAATCTGATGCTCGCTATTGACTGGCTACAAGACGATGTCACCTGACCTGGAGTTCTAGTGACGCTACCTAGGTGTACTTTGAATTGTTGATATAATATGGTTGGAGGCGATAGGCAGGAATACTTACGTGACCTAGGTCTCGTTCTAGTCGGCACTCGTCAGCAAGGTGAATCTGCAATTTTGAAGGAACTTATGTCCCTTCTAGGATTAGAACCCATCTAATATCAATAATTAAAAGTACATCGAGGTGGCAGACCACCTAGAATGTTGACCATATTGCAAACTTGATTGATATAATTCGGTCTGCAGTAAAGAAAGGACTGAATACATCAAAGTACCTAATACAGTCCTACAAGAGATCAGTCACCAGCTCGAGCAGATCAGTGGTAACGTTTCTCGCTGTGGTAGTGGGTGACACGGATTCGAATCTCAAGAGTGACCTGAGTCCCTTCAAGATCGCAAATACTCCTTGGTAACAAGTGAGTGCCAACAAACACAGAACCTAGGTCGAAGGCTTCCTGCCTATTACCTCCAACCATCTAATATCAACGATTAAATAAATGAGTGTGAAAATACTTCGATTTATTAATTAATTACATATTTTGACGAAACTCGAGGGACAGAAGATTTCATCACACCCCATCGTTAGTAAAAGAAGCAATAAAAATCAATGTGGGTAGGGATACTCAACAGCTGTCCTTTCCTTGTTTGGAACTATTCAGTAGTGCTCACCTAGAAACCCCACCAAGTCACCAGGGAACTAGAACGAAACTTCTTTCCATTACCTATTGATTTTCAATGGTTCTCAAACTGATGTCACTTCTTGACAAAGTCAGTAAAAATCCCTGAGAATTAGCACTTGAGAAATGAGTCACTTTAATGAATTGAAAACAAATGAAATCAAGTAGACAAAAATAAGTGGTGAGTACCAGTCAGATAGAATTGGAAAACACATAAATCTACATGCTGAATCACTCCCCATCATCGTGATCACTGATAAATAAATATTAATTTAATTGAGTAATAGTATGTTATGATATTTCTTTTTCTTTAAGATAAATGCATTTTGAGCTCATTTTCTTATTTGAATAAACACATATTGGAAAGATTGGTGATTATCACTGACAGATGTGGCTTATTTTTATCAGATGACTAACTCATCCTAAATCCTTTTCTCATATTCACATAAAAGATATGAAGTTTACCTACGGTAAGAACAGTATACTTAAAGGCATAATCTTTACAAACTGTATTTCGCATTACAGATCGAATGAATGATGAATTCATTAAATCCTGCTTTATTAACCTTTATTGCTTGTTTTAAGATCGAAAACCATTGAATCGATGATTCTTCAGTGCACCCTACTTATGACCCTATGGAAAAGTTAAACAATAGTGTCCCAGACTCACGAGTGACCTTGAGCCGATCGACCATAAGAATAATGGATTTTTGCAAAAAAACGCGTTTATTTACAAGAAAATGCATGAAAACACATTAAACAAGTTATCTTTCTCTGATATGGCTTAAAAACACTTCCCAGCTTTTAACTTAGACCAGTTTCTGTACACGTATTTACCGAGATGACTTAAGGTGTGCTTTTTTTCTCACCCCCTGTTATCGCTCTTATCATGTTTTGTAGTCTTCCCCCAAAGCTCTAGTTTGAGTTACTATGGTTTCCAGTAAGAGGATCGACGACTACTTACTAAGAAAATGTGGATTGTGAAACAAAATGAACGATACCAACTCTAAATCTATTCCTGATTGTAACCTTAACCTTAATCCTGACCCTAATGAGCTATTAACACATTGTCCAAACAGTACTTAAAAGCGTAATCTGGGTGAAATTTGCTCCTTTGTTGGTGAATAGCGTTCATATTTCCGCTATAGTAATGACAGATGTCCTTCGTCAACTACTAGCATGCGTTCAAAGTCAGTGGAGTGTTTGCACCCCTGGGACGCTATTGTTAGACTTCACCGACCCTATGAAGAATCATAGTCTAGAATCTCAGTTAACAGGGTGAAATTAAAACAACTAATAATATGGAGACTCAGCCAAAGAGCACTGCCTTCACACTCTATCTAATTAATTGATCTCACTAGTCATAACCTAAAGTTAGTGGTTGAAAGTCCACAAAATTATTTCACTTGTTAGATTTTGTCACGAATCAATATTAGTTAGAGAGATCGTTCAAAACCAGAGAGTACTGGATAACCACCACCCGACCAGGAATAAAGCATAGAAGTACAGATCACGGCACCAACCTCGTTGACTAGCTAATTGATGGCTACTGGATGGATTCGTGAAGCTTTAGTGTGATTTTGTCACACTGTCATGTCAAGACAAAGTGGAAGACCATTGACAGCATTGGTGTGATTAGCGTTATATCAGGAGTGGACAAGGTTAGACTTGGTATTAGATGGTTGGAGGCAATCAGCCACAGGAAGCCCCACCTGACATAGGTTTCGTACAGGTTGCCACTCACCAGTCAGCAAGGCGCCTCTGCAGTCTTGAAGGGACTCATGTGCCTTCTAAGATTCGAACCCATGTCACCCAGTGCTGCAGACAGAGACGATGCCACTGAGCTATTCAGGCTCACGATTGACTTCCTGTAGGAATGTACTGGATATTTTTGTTAGGATACTAGTCAGTAACTAGTG